GTCATTCAAGTCTTGAGTCACCAGAAAAAAGAACTCGCTGTTTAAAGTATGGCAGACAACCAAAAGTTCAGACAGCTGCAATGAAGGATTAGTTGTGGGTTTTTCTCACTGCCTTGCTACAAACTGCATCACAGCTCGATGTTCAAACATTATTAAATGGGAATGTTTTCTCTGGCACCAACTACTTCTCCCCACAGTTTGAGTATTGAATTTTTTTAACTGAAGTAGCTTTGGTTTACAGCTCACATTAGAACTTAAAAACATATTTCCATAGTAGCTGGCATATGCAGGCAACTGTTTATTCTCAGTACCAGCCATAATAAACACTTGTACTTCTATAATCCAACAAATCTTTGTCTAATCACAACTCCATTTTCAGAGATGTAAAATTTGCATGCTATTTAAACCATTTTTCATGAAGACTGTCTAGAAATTGAAAGATTTTCTAAGTCTGCTTTCATCATCAATATAGACATATAGACCAATAATTCACTGTGAAGGAAAGATACACAGTGGGTATTAATGGCAACATTCTATGGAGAAAAAGCTTTGTAAAGTGGGATAAGCTATAGGATTTTAAGGGAAATAGCTTGTCTTGAGGAGATCCACCTTTAATTCTACCTCGAACTTACGCTGGCAAGTATGAAGAAATGGCACATCCTTGGTTGCATGGGCCTTCCAGGTGAATTGAGAGCAACATCTGACTAACTTTTGGGTTTATATTTTAGCATTCCAAGGCAGTAAAGCTCTGGAAAATGGAGCAATTTTAATTTGCTTTTGGCTCGTGCCTTGTCAACAGAAGTAATGAAGGTCTGCTTGCAGAACTGCTACAGTGAATGAAAGGACCCAGCAGGACAATGAATTCCCATTGAATTTGCCAGAACTGATCATTCTAAAAGTATTTGTTTTTCATAGCTGACTTTAATGGCTATCAGAATCACCGAGACACAGAAGTATGGAGCCTGCATTGCTGTTTTATGGGAACAGAATTAAACTTTAAGGAGAAAAATCACTACCACTCTTCTTCCTTTTTTAATGAATATTGCTATTTATAAGAATGAATTAGCAAGAAGCCGGTAATACATAAAGAATTACTATCAGTAAGAGCAGGTATTAATTTGAAAAAGATTACATACTTAGCACAGTCTGTCAGATACACAGATTTCCAAACTCTGAATCTCTTCCCTTGCTCAAGCTTTGGTTCTTATGTAAGACTGTCCTGACAGCCAGCAGTTGTCTTTTTCACATAACCAAATATCCACTTCTGTGCACCAGTGTTTGTGACTCAGTTTCATCTTTAGCTTTCAAGCAGTTCCCCATGATGCAGGACCCCATCCAACAAGAGACCAACACAGGACACACTTTGTGTGCAGACCCTTGTGCTAGCCATCTGCCAGAAGACAGGACTTCACTCAGCATTCACCTCTAAGAGGTGACTGAACGACATACTCGGCATTATGGCAGACTTGCTTGTGGGCAGCAACAGAGGACCAGAGGCCAACGACAGCTACCCAGACAGACAGATTACTAGAAATAAGAGCAATTCTTAAAAAAGCATAATGGTACAAAGTATAGTTGTCAAAAAAAATCATAATTGTACAGCTCTACAAGAAGAAATACTATCACCGAGGTCCGTATGAATTTCCTCTCTAGAGTCAACCCAGGGTAAGAAGATGCATGGTACCGATGCTGCATTCAAGTCAGTATAACAGACACTGTGGCTTCAGCAAAATGATGCCTCCCTGAGCATCAGCATCATACTGTAAGTCTTGCAAAAAAAGAAATGGAGATGAAATCTAAATATCCCATCGAGTTAGACAGAAGATGCTAACATCTGAGTCAGACAACTCACAACTGCAAGGATTTGGGGTGGCAGAAGGGAGGCAAGAACCATATTCCTGCAGCCTCCCAAGAAGAGCTGGCAGGATCAGCGAAATGGAAGAAAAGACACTAATTTATTGCAGTCACATGTAAATGTTGGCATTTAACAATAGCAGCAGCAGCAAAAAAAAAAAAAAAAAGAGAAAAAAGTTAAAAGAACCTGAGAATGTTGAAAAAAGCCACAATAAATACTGAAGAACTGGAAGAGGAGCTATTTCTCATTAGAAAAGAACAAGGGTTTGAGAACTACTTGTACTTATTAAGATTGAACTGGCTTGGGACCATATGTAGTGGAAATTAAGAAAGCCAGAAAAAATCCACAGATACTTGAACAGAATGAAAAAGGGATCACAGTGCCATTTCAGGAGGCCGCAAGAGTATCAGTTGCCTCCTCAAGTTAAATGGAACGGTAAAGGACATCAGACTTCCTTAATGTAGGCTTAACAAAAATAAATCATTGGCTAATGGACTTCTTAGTAAATCATGAAATCCCCACCTGAGAAGGCACAATGGCAGGGGATTTTAGCTGTAATGTTGAGAGCTGAGGAAATGACTGAACATGAAAAGAGATCAGCTAAGGAAGCCTTAGACAAAATCAGAAGCTTACCAGAAAATTGATAGTACCCAAGAGACTTGCAGTGGTTCCATAACTGTTTGATGAAGAGGAAAAATTAGCACTCATAGGTGCTAAATGTATCCCCAGTGTAACCCATTGAAGTTGAATCACAAAACAGGTTACCTCTGGTGGTCAGTGTTTTACTAGTAGAATGGAAACACTACTGTATTTTACCACATACTTTGTTCTTTAAAAAAGATTATACCAGTCTCTGGCAACGAGTGCTGGAGAGCAGAAGGGAGTTCTTTAACTGGAAAGGAAAAGTTCTGGGTGGCAAAGCAGATTTCAAATCGTGTCACTGATTTTCTGTTGTCTCATACCTACTGTAGTCTATGCTACTCGCTTCACCAACAGGAAAAATCTGATTAGAAACTTTATGCACACAAGTTGTATAGTTATGGAAAACCTCAGGTCCAGGAACTTGTATTACAGGCACCTCTCTTGGACGTATTTAAGGTTTGGCGTTGCAGTACCCACAGACAGCACACAAGAGCTAGGGCACCTCACAAGCAAATAGGTAAATAGTCAGTGCTTGGCAGAGCTGCTACGTCAGTTTGATAAATGGTGGTAAGAGAAAAGTAACTCAAAACTGTTGTAAAATTAAGGCAATGTAAATGGATACATCCATCTCCAACCAGCTCCATGCCTTTTAATGGTGGGATTTCTGGATTCGAAAGCTAGAGTATTGAAGTTATTTGGGCATATGATCTTGACATCAGTGGCTGAGTTCCTGACAACGATATCTGGAGTTGTCCTATGCTGGTTGAAAAGCAGGGCAAGAGAGGCCTCCAGAGCAGTAACCTCTCCCTTGAGCATACCTACACCTCCAGCAAGAGAAAATTAGGGACAAACTGGTGACACTACTCCAGCTGGGTAATATAATATATGTATTTCACGTGACAGCAAGTGATGGTTTACATCAACTACTTGTAAGTTTTAAAAGCAAAGTTCAATTCTCACATAAAATCATGATAAATAGAGTGCTAATATTGTGTGGAAAAAAAAAAAGCATAAGGAAATCTGATATACCCTCTGTATATTCAAGGCATCTCATTACTGCAAGTGGAGCTGAGTAAATCTTCTGAAGTTAAAAGGCTCTTGATAGATTTTTCATTTTGAGAATAAAAGTCTGCCCATTGACCTCAGCAGATTAGTTGTGATTTATATTAAAAAGGCAAAAAAAAACCCAATCTGATCTTTCATACACAACTTCAGTATTTTAAAATGTTTCATTGCTGTCACACACCAGAGCACACTTAAACCTGATCCTCTGGATTCCCCTTATTCTCTGTAGACACTCAACAGTGTAGACATTATACTTGTACAGCACACATAAGCTATAGTAGCAACAACTTGGCAAGGTAGTATACAGATTATGTTTTGGTTTTCTAGCTCACTTCCATTCAGCTGAATTAGGGTTCAGTCATAAAAGCACTGAATACTCCTGTCTCCCTCTGATGTAAGCAGGGTGAAATCAACTTGCAGGCCTTGATCCTCTTGAGGTCAGTAGGTTTTCTGCTCTTCGGTAGTCTTGTGCACTATTCATCTCTGACAGTATTTTTTGTGCCTTCAAAGTACTTCTGTATTGGATTCTGCAATATAGTTAATAAAAATGTCAGGAATTCACATGCAAATATTTTTCATGATTCCACTTAAAACTGCCTGACTCTCCACCTGTACTTACTTTTGGATGACAACTATGCAGATAGTCCAACCAGACTGAAAAAAAACATGCAAACTATTTCCTACAGAAGAGAGTATTAAATAAATCCATCATCATTATTTTATACAAGATTGGTCCCACCTCACACGGGAACCACAAGCTATTTCAACAGAAAGAGTAAGAATTGGTAGGAAGAATGAATTCTTTATTATTCAGTTCTAAGTGACCTCAGTTTTACACCATGAAAATTAATTTAGGTTTTAGGAAAGATCAACACTGCCTACAGAATTCTTCAAGCAATTTTTACAAGATCACTAATTGTGCTTTGTTAATCATCTTACTTCAACTATTTAAATGTATCTTAACACCTTTCAGGTGCATTGGAATTCAGTATCACTTTATTCATCATCTCAGAAAAAGACATATATAAATAACACAATACATAGCTCAGAAAGTCTAGAGGAACCGTTGTCTTCCATGGTTCATAATCTGACAAAAGTTCTTTGGAATTTAGCTGTACTGTTCTTAGTAGAACAGCACTGAAATGAGGAACCTTAAGTTTTAGCCCAGAAAAAAACAAACAGTCTCTTTTGTTGTGTTTGTGTAAAGGAAAGAAAGCTCAAGAGGAAAACCCCTATGCACCAATTCTGTAAATGCACAGTGAAAAGCTCACGGAAGAGTCAGTGCAGCATGGAAGTGACCTTTCAGGAGTGGATCTTGTGACATAAGGTGGAACCTAAAGGAGCATCTTTAGGTGTATCTAAATGGAACTACAGGTGACCAAAAACAATAGCAAGGGGCAATGGTGAGTCTTCACTCTTGCAAAACACTTCGTGGTGATTTCACTCATCAGGATTCCTTCTTTTCCTCCACTTCTAACAGCTCATCAAGGAATTCCACAACTTCACCCTAGAATGGATTAAATTTAACAGAAACAAGTTAACCCTGTATTTTAAAATCAGTGGAAAATTTGAAGTATTTTAATCAGAACATCAACTGTAATAATAATAATAGGTGTCCAAATAATTTTTAACACCCTTCATATAGAAGCTAGCTCAAAGCCTATAAAAGGCAAGTAAATAGCCCATACAGGGGCAGCACAAGTACTTGCAGTGACATACAGACCTTAAAAGAAGGAAATGTTACACTTCCCAGCAAATCCTCCTGATATTTTAGGTATTTAAATAGACAATGAAATCCTCAAACTTAGAAAGCAGAGGCATAAAAGTTTAAAGCATCTGTTAAATTAGGAAACTGCTAAAATAACATAAAACATTAAAGAATTTCAGAAAACCTCAAAATTCAACAGAAAAGTGTTTTGTAGAACCATAACTTGACTTCGCATCTGTCTGCACTAACTGTTTATGTCCTGTTAGACTCTTCAACACACATCTTATCCATTTTCAACCACAGATCTTCACATGTCATACTTCAAGGCAGCAAAAATGTAAAGAACCAGAGATACTAGAATGTCTTCCATACTGGAAACAAATAGGTTTCGTTTAGATCCAGACTAGAAAACACTATATTTACAAGCTCCACTCTGCTAATACAGGTACCAACACAACACAACAATCCAACTTTATTTAAACTACTCCTAACATAGTTGTATGTCATATACGATAGTCAATGCCTTTCTGCAGTCAAGCCTGACTACTCTGGGATGAAACAGCCCCACCAGCTGGAATTTACTGCCTTGTCAACCCAGCTACAGTAATTGAGTTAAAACCTATGTTCTAAAAAGGCCTTAAGATATCATTTAGTTTTTTGCCAAAACAAAATGTCACCTTCTGATAGAAAAATATTCTGCTGGAAAACCTGATCAACTCTTACTCTCATGTTTAAAATAATAAAAATATATAACAGTTATGTTGAAAGCAAGTCACCCTTGCTTGGATACTCATTCCTCTTCCTTCACCCTCCATTCCAAGTCTCTGTGAACTGTATTAGGCTTCTGAGTCTGCTCAATAAATACTGCAAACAGTATTTTACAATCCTAATTAAATTTCAAGCACAATTTTGTCTAGAAAAGTATTCCTTAGGAAGACAGCACCTCCCAGACACATGCAGTTTGAGATTAAAAATTTTACAGTTTCCTATTCTGGTGAGGAAAGGGCATTAACTGTCAGTGAAAATAATAAGAGGAAATTGAGAAGTTTTGTCTATTTTGAATACAACTGTATTGGTGATTAAAAATATTAACATCACATTTTTCAGAAGTGTGATTGGCAAGGAGAGAAATAATGAGAACCAAGCAAATAAAAAAACAAAAGCAGGAGGAAATCTGGCTGAAATAACTGCTGCTCTTGTTCCCTGCTTCACAGTTCCATCTCAAAAGACTGTTGAGTTGTTGCAACTATGAAGTGGTTTTAGCAAGTCCTGAAGAACGGCAATTTATTTTGCTTTGAATTTGTTCAAAACATTGAAGCATCCAATACAATAAAAAATAAAAAGACAAGAAAAAATGCCAGCACTTTCATATTCCCTACTCATCTTCTTGGTTGCAGGAAATCTGACATCTGGAAAACAGGAATTTGACATTTCTGCACGTTTTTCTTTGTTAGAAATATTTTGATTGCCTAAGGAGCCCGATTGTGGGAGGAACTCACTACTACTTCACAAACGCACGTGAAGAAAATAGCTACAAGTTTCAACAGTCACTATGCAAGCAGTTGAAAGATCCAGAGACAGAGGTACAGAGGACTTCAGGTCAAATTTTATAGCACAGCTCCTAGAACTGTGGGCACACGTATTTGGGTGCCTTTTGAAGGACTACAGATTAGCAGGTAGGTCCCATTAACTCTGATCAGAGATAGGAGACTGGGAATACAGGTGTCTACCACAGGGGTCCCAGATCTAATTCAGACTGATTCTTTTACTCTTTAGGATCCTGTATTTCATTTAATGAAATAATAACAAATATTAAAACAGGACTTCTCTCCTCAGTCTACCTGAAAAGACAACCCTCAAAAGGTGAGTCTGAGAAGTGGGGTGAAAGGCATATACATCTGACTGGATCACCCAGAATTAAGTATAAGGAAGACATGGGAATTTCAATATTGTACCTTTAGTAACTACACCCAACAGGAACAATTTATATTACTGTCAAGCTCATCAGTAAGATAGGCTATTTCAGAAGACACAGAAGATCCAGACAGATTTCACATTTTTTTTCTTCTGGTATGTTTTCAAATCCAGAAACACATAAGAAGCCCAAGTTTTAAATAGAAAAGGATATTTAAAAGCAACAGTATTTAAAAAAAAAAAAAAGACAAAAAAAAGACTGATCTCCAGTGCCTAAAACTGATCTCTATAGGAAAGTAAGATGGAAGCTGTTGCAGTCTAATGAGAAGCACTGAGGAGTAAAAGAGGTTGAAATATGGCAAAAATATAAAAATAGTTGCCAAAACAATATACATACAGAAAATACACTGTAATACAACTGAATAATCGCCTGGATGTTGGTTATTTCTGAAAAGGCAAGAATTCCAGATTAAAGACAAGGAAAACCTGTAGTTAAAATACTTTTGCCTGCCTTTCAGGGTCAGAATGTAAAACATTTGCAAGTTGTCCATAGTGTGGTAGGCAGCCTAATGAAAAGGTGATAGTGCTATGTCAGAAGAGCTGATGACAATGTCACACTAGCAGCTATGACCAGATTGATCACTGTCCTTGCCCCATTAACACTCACTTGACATCAAGGCAGGCATTTTGCATGACTGCAGTCAGCAAGTATTTCACAGGTGTTCATTCCAGGGAAAAAGCCTTCTGCCTACTGATAGCTAATAACTTCATGCTGGCCCTCAGATCTGGAGTCTGAAATGATTCTCTGATATGATTTAAGCCAGGGGTTCTCAACCTTCCCTTCACCACAGATCCCCTTGAAATACCTTTTGTGGCCGCAGACCTCCAAGACTTAAGTCAAGATTAAAAAAACTAGACTGCATCAAATATTTATTTAAATTGTCTCATGAAGGGTCTTCAAATTTGGAGAGAAGGGGAAATAAGTTAATCTGTTAATTCACACACTCCTATTATCTTCATTGCAACGATGCCATATGAATTTAAAACAATAGCATCAACACTTCTTGCTCCAATGTCCATCTTATGGTATTTTAATATGCTATATCCAAATCTGATGCCAATTTTTACATTAAAATTTGACGAAAAGTTTTTACAATTCTTCTCACCTTTCCCCTTGTTTGACTGTGCTCAGTCACCACATATTTTTGTGTACTGGTCCAGGGCCACCGCTTGGAGGAAGAGACTTCAGCCCTGTTGTGGCCCTAAAGAGGGCTGTTGGGTTAAGAAAATGTCTTGAAGAGAAAAAACATCTAGTTTAAGTGGGGCCCACCAACCGTACTAGCTCCGAAAATACTAGTGCATCAGGGCAGGCGGCGTGGGGGGGGCTTGAGTATGAGAGGAGCGTTGAGGGGAGGGGGCTGTGGGAAAAGGAAGTGCAGTACTTGCCGTGGGCCAGACCAGATGTTTCCGGGCTGGATGTTCCTCACCCCTGCTTTGAGCCTTCACAGACCCCCTGTGATGATATCATGGCTCCCCAGGGGTCTGCAGACCACAGGTTGAGAACCAGTGATCTAAGCATTCAGTGTGACAGAGCTCTTCCTGTTATCTGGCATGCTATTTGGCTCCTACCTAAATAGGAAGGACATCGATGTTTACAGCAGCACCAAAGTCAGCTCCAAACCTGTAATTCTTACTGCTGCCAGCTACTAGAGGGGACAACAGCCACCCAGCTCTAATGCAGGTTACATAAATATGCTATTCAGACACGGTGCTGATGTAAATCAGAATTGAGCAATATATGGCCCAAAGCGTGATGTAGCTGTCTGGCTGGTAGCTAGTAAATCAGCAAGTGAAGTCTGACTAAGCTTGAGGAAGAGAAGGGTTTGCTGTGAGACCAGTACATGCCTCATAGTTCGGTCCTCAACAGCTGGAAAGTATGCACATGTTGACTGCCTGGTCAGCTGCAATGACACATGTCCTTGTTAGCAAGCTGGCCCTCCATCCACAGTTATTGCCTCCTGGTTTGCAGTGGAAGCCAGGTACGTGCTGCAGGTAAAATAGCTCTGCTGGCACCCCATGGCCTCCCTCCCTGTGCTACCAACCTTTTCCTTCTCCCAATCCAGGGACAGTCAGTGGAAAGTGGGAGTGACAGAGAAGGATGTTTGGGAAAAGATGGGTGTAGCCTGAAATAGGGGAGGATGATACCAAACAGCAGCAGGGGAATGCTCCCAGACTGGTGTGAGTGGTAGCATGAATCAGAGAAGCTGATCTGATCAGCTGGAGCCTCTTATTATCTGTCAGATATGCAAACCGAGCACCCTTGGCTTAGATGAACAACTGAACAGAGGCACGAGCAGAAAGAACAAGTTTTGTACCACAGTAATTCTAGGCTTTACAGATGGTATGTGAGTAGGTTGGTTATAATAAAAAATAATTTTAAAACAGAGTCTTGGTCAATTCTGAATAAGCTAACCCAGGCTAGTGAGACTGGTGCAAAAGCAAAGCTAAAGCATTTGAAAAAATAAGTCCTAAAAAGGAGAAAAAGGCAGAAGTCCTCACTTATTACCGCAAGCTGAGTGTCTAAGATCAAAGTACACTTTGGGCCAGGGATTGTTGCTGGCCCTTCCTTATGCAATATTAAATGCTGCATCCACACACACAAAACACAAACTTTCAGAAAAAACACTTGTACTTTGGAGACTCCTAGCTAGCTATTAAAAGAAACAGCAAAGAGAAAGCTACTAATACATGGCTCAGTTATGGCCCACTTGAGACTTGATGGTCCAGCACCAACTTTTCTTTTGACAGCATCATTTAAAAATAGTAGAAAGCAGTAGCAGTTGTACTGCTCACTGACAGACCCAGATGCTTTGCCGTTGGTTGCA